CAATTCATGGACACTCGTGTATAAGAAAGAGCTTTATATACAAGGGCAATTAAATGTTAAGAAAACATCCCAGCCCAATCCAGATCAAGTCCATAAGTCTGATATTAGCCCATGTGTCTGAAACCAATCTATAAAGCCCTCTTCAGACTCATGCAACACATGCAATGACGCCAAGTGCAAGATCACAGCCAGTTAGTGGGACGTATTGTGGATCCAGTGGTGCTATAAGCATCTCAGCACTGGCAGGGTTCTCCATGTGGCTTCTCTGGCTCCATCAGCCTTTCTCCATGTGTCTTCTCCACAAGGATGTCTCACAGGGAGAGAGATGAGAGAAAGACTGTCTTCCACCTTCAAGGAAGACTATAGGAATTCCCAGAATCCTCAGAAGGCCATGCCTACACAGAGGCCTCACTGGCTATGACCTGATTGACAGTCCAGACTCCTCAAATTGACACCAGATTATGTAACTACCACAGTTGTGTAGCCATGTCCTTGGTAAAAATCCTAGAACTAGAGTTTCCCACATATTTCAAGCTTTGTTCTTATTGTACAGTCCATTTTTCAGGTCATCATTTTCCTGACTTCAGCCTCTAATATTGTGCCGCTTCCTTCCCAAAGCTCCTGCCAGAGCTGATGAACACATCGACACTCACCATGTTTTACAGAAAGCCAGGGACATACACGGAAAAGACTATAATCACGTTATTGCCGGAACACATCAAGTAAATAATTCCCCCCATTTTCTGATCTAATCTCCTGCTTCTGTCTGAACTTGATCCAAAAGGCAATTAAGCTGCATGGGTTGGAATTTGAAAATTAGAAGCCAAAAGGCATAATCCTTAGTTGGAAAATAGGATGATTTTTTTCCCTTGGTGAAAGCAATTAAGCTGAAGATCACGATAGGATTTTGCAAGTTCAAGGACTTCTTCATTGCAAATACCTCTTTTCACTGGTGACTAACCATCCACATGGTAACTAAGCTTACCACACGGAGTACACAGGATTCAGACTGACCCCATCTGTGGGGAGAGACGATGGGCAGGCAGACCAGTTGCCAACGGGCTTCAAAATGCAAGCTGTGTCTTCAGGAGTCTCTAAATGGCACAAATGGTTTGCACTGATGATTAACCTAAAGGTGGCATTTTGAAATCACCCCGTGGCCTCGGAGATAAAAGATCTAGCAACCTGCTTCCATAAGGATTTCAGCCATAGGTAACCGGATGGATTAGTTCCGTTCCAGAACACGTGAGATTCAAGGATACCCTAATGCTTCCCTCTGCAGCAGTTACACTCACAGCGAAATGAAAGTGTATGCATCTCTCCAAAATGTGTGTTCTGCTCCAAATTAGAGAAGATGGCTTTTCTAAGAGGCCACTGCTTTCCCTGTGGTCCTCTCCAATACTATTGTTTTTATTCCTGCAGCCTCGTGGCATCGAAAGGCCTTGGTACCTTCCTTGCACCTCATCGCTCTCTCCAAGCCAGTCTCCCTCACTCGGTTCTTTGCAGTGGAGCCTCATCCTGAGAATACTACTGCTGGGTGCCCTCCTGGTTGAGTTTCCATTCCTAGCGGCCCCACGTGTCCTCCGGGGCGGGCTTCGTGGGGTGCGCCTTTCACGAGAGCAGATCGCAGGCCCTCACCCCGCCCAGCGGACGGGCGGGCTGCCTGCGCTCGAACCGCTCACGTGCGGATTCGCGCCGGAAAGCTGAACCGCTACACGGCCCCCAGGCTGCGGACACCAGAACCGTCGCCTTTCTTTTAAAGGAGCCGCAGGCGCTTCCGCTCGGCCGGAGGGAGTGCGGAATCATGGGAAATGTAGTCCGGCAGCTTTGTTTTTTTGCGGACACTTCCGCTCCCGGCGCGTGAGCGTTGCCTTTTCCTCGTGATGGTGCGGAATTCTGGGAAATATAGTGCGGGATTCTGGGAAATGTAGTCCGGCAGCTTTGTTTTTGCGGACACTTCCGCTCCCGGCGCGTGAGCGTTGCCTTTTCATCATGATGGTCCATCCTCCGCCGCCCGGAGAGCCTTCTAAACTTCCCAGGTTCGCGTTCGGGACCGCTGGCGACCACGATCGGGCGTTCATGGACAGAAGCCGCGGCGGACACGGAGGTTCGAAAGGCGAGGGCGGCGGTTTTGCGTTCGGCGGAGACTTGCCCAGTTCGGGGCGATTCGCGCATCCCTGGGCCGCGGACCGGCTTGCGGGAGCGGCTTCCGGGCCCTCGGCTTCCCCATCCGCCTCCCCGCACTTGGCACCCGCGCTACCGATGGCTCTCGGTGCATTTCTGCCAAAAAACGGCTTTCGTCTCGCCGAGGGGCCCTCGTGGCGCAAGAGTTGGCCGATCCCCGAGAGGTCTCGCCCACTGCCGGCGAGTAGATGCCAACTCATAGCGAGTCCATAGGACCGAGGTCCGTTACCCGCAAATTGTGGGTTTCCGAGGTTCACGCCTCGCGGTTAGCAGCCCGTCGTGGCTCAGCTTCCCCAGGGCTCCTAACCGAGAGGTCAGCAGCGGAGACACACCCACTGCACCTTAGGAGAGGCGACCTGGTCCTCCAACCGCTGCCCTGGATGCTAGAGAGCCTAACAAAAATCTTCTGGGGCAGTTTGGTTCTGTTTGGAAGGGTCGCTATGAGTCAGAATCGCCCCATGGCAAAACAAAAACATGGCCTTTCAGAATAGAACTGCGCTGACCATTTCAAGGGGCCCTAAAAAAAATAAGTAAATAAAAGCCCGGACACAACTCCGGGCCCTTGATGCATGGTGATGCCTCTTTGTTAATCAAAAAGCCATTGCCAAGGACGAATTGATTCCGAGTCAGGGCGACCTCCTGGTTGTGAGCACTAGTACACCCCTTCCTGAGATGAGTTGGGCGCCCATTTGGTAGTAGGCAACTGAGGACCAGATGGGCAGGACGATGATTACGTCCCCTTCACGCATCCCTCTGTGATGAGACTGGTTGACTGCTATCTGGTTTGTTTGGTGCCGAGAATTTTAAGTTCACTTTAGTCTTACCGTAGTTTCCTTTAAGGACCATGCTAGCTCTGGGAAGTTTCCTGGGCAATTGAGGTGTTGTGCAAATTATTAGGGAGGTTGGCCAGACCCGGGACCTTGCAGGTATCCGGATGCCAGCTGATTGATCTCAGAAAGAGGACGTGGTTCAAACTGTCAGGTCCAGATTAGCCAGAGGGATATTGGCCACTGCATTTCCTTCTCCTTAAAAGCCTCATTATAAAAGCTGTAATTAATGACAAAGACACTCTGCCATGGAGGTAGTGCCGAATCATAGTGCCCCGATAGGACAGGGTAGAACGGTCCCTGTGGGTGTCCGAGACTATAAGCCCTGTCTTGACCCCAGTGGAAAGCCCCACCCATCTCCTGAGAAGAGCTGCCGATGGTTTCAAACTGCTAACCTTGCAAATTGCAGCCCAATGCATAACTGCCACGCCAGTGAATTGTACATGTGGAGGTCGCTCTATTGTCCAGTGATTTTTATGTGTCCATATGAGCCACATAAAAATAAGTAACCTCATGTTCTCCTTGAAGGAGCCGTAGTGTAGTGGTGCTGTCGGACATCCTGCAAGGCCCAGGATTCAAAATCGCCAGTGGTTCTTGGGAGAAAGACAGGCTCTTGGCTCCGGTAAAGATGCCCAGCCTGGAAAAACCCTGTAGAGCAGTGGTTCTCAACCTTCCTAATGCCGCTGCCCTTTCATACAGTTGCTCATGTTGTGGGGAAACCCCACTCCCACCATAGAATTATTTTGGTTGTTACTTCATCTCTGTCATTTTGGTGTTATGAATTGGGTGACCCCTGTGAAAGGGCCGTTTGACCCCTGAAGGGGTCACGACCCACAGGCTGAGAACCGCTGCTGTAGAGGGTGGCTGTGAATCAAAAGACTTGATGGGAATGGGTGTCACTTTCTCTAACCAGAAGCTCTTCCTGGGTGCGCACAGATTCACGGCTGGAGTGACTCCTGCCTGCTTCCATTTCTTTGTTCTTCACTCACGGGCTGCAGGATTGCAGTCAGAGCTCCCCCTGCAGTGGCCTGGCCCTTCACTCTGAGTCCTGCAGGAGGCTGGACGTTCCTGGTCCCTTCTGACCTCCCTCCTGAGGAAGGAGGGGGCTGCTGCTGGCAGGTCGGAGGGAGAATGGAGTGCTGTCTCCGGGGGCCATGATTGGAATGCACAGCCTCCTCTCTGTCCGCAGCCCCCCGCTTCTCAGAAAGGGCAGCTTGGAGGTGGAGATGGTGATGTCTAGGCTGGTAGGAGAGCCCATCTGAGTAGGACTGGGTGATAAGGCAGCGATTTAGGAGGGGACACGGTCAAGCCCGAGTCAAAGATCTTTCAGAAGACACAGGGTGCCTTCGTTTCACAGAAGAAACCGTCAGAAGTCAACACACCTTACCAGGCTCCTTTGTAGCAATTGTGTATATAAGGATAATGCTGTACTGTAGACTCCCTTGGGCTGTTCTCTACCTGCAAAGCTACAAGAATCCTGTTAGCGTTCTAGGTGGTTTCTGTTGGGGGACTCTGCCTTCCATGTTCACAGACGGCAGAGTGGAGGCAAAGAGCTGCCATCTATTTCCCAACACGACACAGCGAGTGACAAGCCACCCCGGGCTTGGAAGCCACCTTTGTGTTGCCCGTAAGGCAGGCTTTTGTTGGGTCCGCCGTGCTGGCTCACAGTCTGTCCTCCCCGAATCAGAATTGCTATTTCCAAGGCCACAAGGCGGCATTGGGGACTGAAGCAGTGTGTGCAGCGGAAGAGTGTTCACTGAGTCCGAATCACTGGGTCCAAATTGAAATGTACCCAAGGGCATCAGGTGTCTACGCCTGGCCCTGCACATGTACCCAAGGGCATCAGGTGTCTACGCCTGGCCCTGCACATCAAGCTGGTACAGCCGCAGCCACTCCAGAGGAAGGGGCTTCATGGCTGATTCGAGAGAAGTGGTCGTGAAGGCGAGCGCTATCCTCTGCCACCTCTGAATGTCTCTCCTCCTTCCGTAGGTCAGTGCTCCCGGAACTGCGGATCCCAGGCCTCTCTGCCTCACCGGAAGTAGGAAGAAAAATGAGCATGCTCCCAGTGAGTAGAGCGGACCTTTTCCTGCTTAAACTTCCCCCTCATGGCTCGGATTGGACAGTTATCTCCAATATGTGCGTGTCTGCTGTTTACCAAGTGCTTGCTTTTTTTGTTTGGGGCTAGCTTTGGGTTAGGTTGTTTTTCTTTTTAAGTCAGTTTTTGTTTTTAAATCCTCAAAAAAATAAAAGGAGGTGGACTGAACCTTTCTCACAGCTAATATTCTACTCACCAAATAGCTCTGTGTGGGGGAAGCCAGCCCCCACAACTAATCAAGGGTTCGGTGAGCGCAATTGTACAGTTATGGTCTATAAAGACTATAAACAGTAATAAAGATGATAAGAAAGTCATAGAGAATAGAGATAGGAGAGAGTACAGTAATGGAGTCAGACACGTTTCATGGTAGCATGCTCACCTCCTGGACGGCCGTGATCTCAGCAGCCAGTCCATGCGCGGTGAGGGCAGAGGGCAGGAGAATCTTTTTATTTCTGGCCAAGGCCCATATATACTTAGGGGCCTGATTACAGGCAACCACGCCCGTCACAGGAAGGGGCTGTGCAGTAGGTATTGCGTAACAGGAAGGGGATGAACTAGGGGTTTATAAGTAACAGGAAGGGGAGGGACTAGGGGTTTATAAGTACCAGGAAGGGGAGGGACTAGGGGTGAACATGACAAGATGGATGGACCCTAGATGCAATATGGCAGCCTAACCTTGATCACCCGTGAGTGGGCTTGACCTCCCTGGGCTCTCCTTCCGGGAAACAACCTACTACCCTTATCAGAAGGCAGTGGGCCCTACTTAGGGTGGGACAGACATGCAGTCTGATTGCTCCTGATGGCTGACAACCCCCAGGGAGATAACCTCTGACCTGCCTTCCTTGACCTCCAAGTGTCTTCCATGTGTAGCAAGCAGCTAAATTTGGCATCTATTTGGGGAGACAACATGGGAGAAAGCGTTCTATACCCCACATTTCTGTTTTCTCCCCGTCTTTTCCACGTGTAGTTGTAGAAATGGTTTTCCTGCATGAAAGACATCTCGGTGCCCGGCTTCCATGTTTCAGTTATTGTTGTGAAACAGCCGGTCGGTGCTGGCTGACTGCATTTTCCAGCGTATCTACTGCACCTTTTCTTTCACTGTTTCTAGAACTGTTTCCGCATTTTGGTGGCTGAGGAATCTCACTGTTTTTAATCAACGTATTGTGTTTTTAGTGAATTTGGACATATCAGTGTAGTTTCCCGTTCAATGGGTTTTTCCCCCAACAGTTTTATTGGCACATCGTTTACATATCATAGAATTGAATCATTCAATTGTATTCAATCATATCAAAGGGACCGTGGTCCGATCTGTGTCATCCTAGAGCATTCCCTCCCCCGTGGTTGAATCACCCCCAAATGAGCTGTGCAGCCTCGATCTGCTCCAGGGCTCCCTCCCCCTCCCACCTTCATTCTGTACTCCCAAACTCAACCATATTGGCACAGCCCGTGCAGTGAAATTGGTTACATTTCTCATAGTGTGTGCTCCTTCTAGATCTTCCTGTTCTGGTCCTGTGCCTGCTAATCCAGTTCCCCCACGCCCTTGCGTTCTCATCAGTGTCTGAAAGTAACAGTTGACTGTTTAGGCTCCTGTAGATGGTTTTTTTTTTTTTTTTTTTTTTTTTTAAGTAGCACTGCACTCACGGGGAACAGGCTCTTTGAGATAAACGTTGACCTTGGTAGTTTCTGTTCAAGATCTAAAGGGTTCCTCAGGCTGTCCTCTAGCCACTACCTGCCCTGTAGGTATATATTTGTGTTGCTTTCTTTTTAAAGAATGTGAAGTGGTATTCTGGACTCTGACTCAAGGGACCCGATAGGACAGGGTAGAACTGCCCCTGAGGGTTTCTGAGATTCTACAGGAGGAGAAAGCCTTATCTTTCTCACTCAGACCGGCTGGTGGTTTTGAACTGCTGACTTTCCAGGTAGCAGCCCAGCATGTAACCACTACGCTACCGGGGCTCTTTCGTCTGGTAAAGAAATGGGCAAATCCAAGAAGCAGTTGAATTCGGGGTACAGTGTACAAGAGGTGCTTGGATTTGTAGATTAGTTTCGTCTGCTTTGTGGGGAGCCGTTTGTGAAATGAGATGTGAGAACTGCTCTCTGAGGGGTGGCGTCTTCAGATGTGGCTGCGACGCAGTGGCAGGCTTGGTTAGGGTTGATGAAAGGCCCACAGCTCAGTGTGGGACAGTCACACATGATCACATGACCGCCAGTCACGCTAACGCAGTGGTTCTCAACCATCCTTAGGCCGCGACCCTTTCATACAGTTCCTTGTGTTGTGGTGGCCCCCCCAACTAGAAAATTATTTTCGTTGCTACTTCATCACTGTCATTTTGCTGCTGTGACGACTCTGGCGACCCCTGTGAAAGGGTCGTTCAAGGACCCAAAAGGGGTCGAGACCCACAGGTTGAGAACCGCTCCTCTGAAGGGTCAGCGGGCCTGCTGGACCGGATGCAGTTTAGAGTGAGATTGGTTGACCTTGAAAAGGAAAATTGCCTCTGCCCCGTCTACATGGAACACTCCAGAGAAAGCAACGGATGTGCTGCCTAGACAAGCCCTTAAAGGGCTCTGTGGTGATCAGGACATTCGTCCAGGGAGCATGCCCCTGACGCGGGCCAGGGCCATGAAAGCATGAAAGATAGGGTAATGGGCAGTGTCGGGTGGGGGGCGGGGAGCCCCTTTCAGCTGCACACTCCATGTAACTGCTGCTGTGAGCATCACAGCCATTGGAAAAGTCTTGTTGGGACTGGTGGCACAGATTTCCCACGTGGCCCTTACAGATGCAGGAAATAAAGGGGGTTCATAGGAGAGAGAGAAGTGGCCAGTGGGGGTGCAGGGAAGCACCTATCCCAGCAAGACAAAGGTTCCTAGGATGGCTGCTAAGATTGGGATGAGGATAGCAGCTATTGATGGTGTTGAGATGAAGGATCTCATGCAGCTTCCCAGGAAGTTGGATGGACCCACAGGAAGTTGGATGGACCAACAGAAACGCCTGTGTACCTCAACTCTAAGGAGGCTTAAACAAATCTCTTCTCTTCTGTCAGAAGAAACCAGCCTCCAACAACCAAAGGGCCAGTAGGTGCAAGTGTACAGCAATGCTATATAAAGATCATTATAGTAAAGTCATAAGAGGATAAGAAAGATAGGAGAGAGAATAAAAGAAAGGAGTCAGACACAGTGTATGGTAGCATGCTCACCTCAGCCCCTCTTGATGGGCCACGCGGAACTGGGAGAAGAGAGATGGCCTTTACTATCATGGGACGTTTATAGGCAGCCTTAAGACATGCATGTTCAGTAGTTACATGCGTCACAAGGTGGGTGGTATCTACAGTAAGGTCCCTGAGCTCACAGGTGAGGAAACCTAACACCTGCATTGGGGAAGGGTATGAGGGGGACTGGGTGTCACAGCAGGAAGAGAGAGCAAAAGGATCATGTCTGCTTCTGTAGGGAGATAGAATCAACCGTGTGCTCCCTTTAAGGCAGCAGAGCTGCTAGGGGAGAGTCTGTGGGAATGATATTTACAGCAGGATCATGTACCTGGCCTTTACCTCTAACTTACTGAAGTGAAGGCTTTCCTACCGTGGAATGCCACTTTCCCAGAGTCCCTCTGTGATCAGTTAGGGAATGTAGCCCTCATCATGTTTCCCTCAGTTAGTCTCCCACAATGGTTGGAAAACAGATTTACTCAGTAAACCTCCACCCAATCCAATTCATAGTACAAAGTTAATGTAAAAAAAAAAAAAAAAAAAAATCCAGGTCCTGCCCAAACAGTGACATTTCTAGCGATACATTGGGCAGGAGCCACTCAGGAGGCAACAAAGCCCAGTCCCTGTTGCTGCGAACCCCCAGGGGTGAGCAGGAGGCCCCGCGTTTGATGTCCCTGTTTGGATTTGGGTGAGCACAGGGTCCACATCTAGAAATACTGCTGGCTCCCCTCCATTAAACCCTTGGGGGGAAACCTACGTCCAAATGGGGCCAGAGGGGGAAAAACTGGCCATCACTCTTCATGCTGTGAGGTCCTTATGACCTCTGGTTAGACATGATTTCGGTGGTGTCTACCAAACCTGCTTTGCAGACGGGAACTGAGGGCAAAGGCCTGGGGAACTCTGCCCTTCAGCAACTGATGAAATTCTGGGCTAGAAACTTTGCAGGTACGACCGCTTGGCACCCGCCACTTGGAAGGTAAATCCCTGGCTGCTGTTGAGCGTTGCTTGAGACTGCTTAAGTAACAGGAGGACAGCAAGCCATCCTGAAACCTGAAATCCCCATACTAGCGTAGGGGCTGGCAGAGAAACACTGAACAAGGAAGATGTGCCCACAATAGTTTCACAGTAAAATGGCAGTGGTCTCTACAATAAAAAGGGCAATGCAGGGAGGTCCGCCTGTCCGTGAGCAGGCAGCTCTTTCCCCACAGGTCCTACCATGGAGCCACCCCACAGGCTGCCAGAGCCCATTGCCACGTGGATCGAGCCAGCAAACCAAACTCAACTGCCTGACTCTGCGCAACCGTATTACAGGACAGAGTAGAACTACCCCGGTGGGTTTCTGCGACCCTGAAGCTTTACAGGAATCGAAAGCCTCGTCTTTCTCCCACAGAGTGGCCAGTAGCTTCAAACTACTGACCTTGAGGATAGCAGCCCAACTCGTGGCCCACCATGCCACCCGCACCCCTTTGGCACCTGGAGGGTGCTTTCAGAAACCACGTCCTGCTGACTAGAAGGCAAGTTCCAGGGCACGTGGACAGCGTTTGATGTGGAAAGCACCCCCTTTAGGACCCACCCCAAGCCCAACTCATGCCCTCCAGTGGCTGCCGACTCAGCACAGCCTAAGAGGACAGGGTAGAACAGCCCCGTGCGTTTCTGAGTCTGTAGCTCTTAGCAGTAGGAAGGTTCCTCTTTCTCCGGTGGAGCGGCTGGTGGCATCGAACCGCTGACCTTGTGGTTAGCAGTCTAGTGCATAACCACTGTGCCAGCAGGGCTCCTTCAGGACCAACTTCAAAATTGAACTCAGTGCCATCGAGTCAGTGCTGCCTGATGGAGAACCCCCTGAGGGTTTCCGAGACTGTAACTGTTCCTGGGAGTAGAAAGCCCAGCCTTTCTCCCGTAGAGCTGCTGGTGGTTTCGAACTGCCGACTGTGTGGATCACAGCCCAGCATGTAACCACTACACTGCCAGGGCTCCCTTAGGAACAATAGATGATGTTTATGAAGCACCAGTTCAGTGCCATCCACGGTGTGTTAGTCTTGGGTAGACTAGGGAAACAAGTCCACAGAAACTCATAGATATAAGAGAGCGTTTTCTATAAAGGTTAAGTGTACATTAAGAAAGCATCCCAACCCAGTGCTGTCCAAGCCCATAAGTCCAACATTAGCCCATATGTCTGACACCAATCCACAAAGTCCTCCTCCATCTCACAGAACACACGCAAGGATGCCGACTGCAGGAGGAAAGCCGAATCAGTGAGTGTGTAAGCATCTCAGCGTTGGCAGGGGTCTCCACACGGCTGTTCCAGCTCCCAGGGCTGCATCAGGGTAGGTCCATGTGGCTTTTCCTCCGAGATGTCTTGCAGGAAGTGAGCCTTGCCAGCTGAACCAGGGAACTGACTAAGGCAGCCGCACCCTGATCCGACCATCAGAAAACAAGAGACCCAAGAACTAGAAAGGCAAGGCTCACTGAGCCATTTATCCCTCCTGCCCTTCAGTTAACCCCACATGTGTTTATCGGCCAGGTTGGCACAATCAACCTTAACTATCTCACACTGCAACAAATGACGTGTGTGTATAGATACATGTGTTTTTCCTTGTTTATTTTTAAGAGATTCACATTGCACAAAGTATTGTACACAGAGAAGACCAAGATCCACCGGGGAGCGGGACCCAGGTCCCCAGGCTAGTAAGGGGCAGGTGGTAGATCGCTGGGACTCGGCATGGCAGCTACAATGCAGTGCGTTCCGTGTTGGGATTCGTGGATGTGTGTGTCCTTTGAGAGTTGAAAGCTCTGAACTACATGTGGTTGAAGACAAGACAATGTCAAGCGCTCACTAGTTTGGCCAATCTTGAACAAACGTATTAGCAGAGGCAGTGTGTGGTCAGAGGGTGGTGAGGTGGGTGCTATCAAATTCAGCGGAGACGGAAATGGAGCAGGTGACAGTCTGAACAGTAAACCGCGTGTGCCCACCCCAGCATGCAACTGTGAGGTTTAGGGTTATCTCTGACCCAAACGAAAAAAACAACAACCCCAGTACCATCTAGTCAATTCCAACATATAGGCCAGAGTAGCCTTGAGCCATAGGGTTTCCCAGGCAGTAAATCATTATGGAAGTTGACTGCTTCATAGTTTGTTTTCCCTTGGAGCGTTGGATGGGTCCAAACCACCAACCTCTTGATGAGTGGCCCGATGTTTAACCCTGTGTGCCACCTGGAGTCCTTCACCCTGAAAACACAAGGGCCTGTTTACCCCCACACCCCCCACCCCACCCCGTGGGAGATAGTGACAGCAACTTACTCGTTGTTGCCTGTGGCATGTGGCTCCTGCCCAAATTCTGGTAAGGATTACATGGTTTGGAAAAGGCCCCGGGTGCTTGATGTTTCACTGTCACACGCTACACGCTGGGTGAGGCTAGGGAATGTCAATGTAGATGCAGGGGTCCTCAAACTACGGCCCGCGGGCCACATGCGGCCCACTAAGGACATTTATCTGGCCTGCCGGGTGTTTTTCCCCCTTTTGTTTTTTTACTTCAAAATAAGATATGTACAGTGTGCACAGGAATTTGTTCATAGTTTTTTAAAAACTATAGTCCGGCTCTCCACTGGTCTGAGGGACAGTGGACTGGCCCCTGTTTAAAAAGTTTGAGGACCCCTGGTGTAGAGCCTCAGAAGACAGAAAAGGGCAGAACATCCCCGTGCGCATAGTCTTCAGACTCTAGACCTGTTTCCCCCTTGCCCCCACTCCTCCCACACGTTACAGAGAGACAGTAGTTCTCACCCTGGGTCTGTGTGGCCTTGATGTTACAGGAATCAGTCTCATTCAAGGACGTGGCTTTGGTCTTCAGCGAGGAGGAGCTTGGGCTGCTGGACCCCGCCCAGAAGAAGCTGTACCAGGATGTGATGGTGGAGAACTTCCGGAACCTGGTGTCCGTGGGTGAGGGCAGCCTCCTTCTGGGATGCCTTTGATCTCAGATTGTCAAGGTTTTGAACAGGTCTCAGGACAGTTGGTGACCTTAGTTTGGGGCAGTGACTCTCCGGTCGATAATTTTTTAATGAAATAAAGCAGAGGGAACTCGCCGAATGCATTAGGAATGCACACACCCCCACCCCCAGATCCGGCCAGAGGGCGGGGTGGTGTGAGAGTCAGTGGGTGGCCCTGTCACACATGCAGACCTGGGTTTTCAGCAGGCTAACCGACGCGTTAGTGTCACATATTTTGTGTGCGTCTCTGGGTCTTCCAGTGCATCGTCTCAGAAGAAAATGTGTTCCAAACACTGCTTCTGTTGACTTTCGGGACTCCGCAGCAGAAATGGAAGATCCAAATACACGACGCCAGTTTGCGTCTCGCTCACCAGCCTCAGACCCAAACCATTGCCACCGGGTCGGAGTAGACCCGCCCCATAGGGTTTCCGGGGCTGGAGTCTACGTGGAGGCAGACTGCCTCATCGTGCGCCCCCAGAACAGCGTGGGAGTCCCAACGGCTGACCTCTCAGGTGTTGGCCGAGGCGACTCACTGCGCCACAGCAACCCGGAGACGAGGGAAGCGAGATGAGAGCCAGCCCACCGGGAATCCTTGTAGATGGGTTCACCACATGTCCACTTCGACCTTGTCCTGTAGGGTCACTGTGAGTCAGAATGCACTCCATGGCCAGGGAGTTTAAGTTTTCTTTATTGGTCCAACTAATCTACATACCAACCCCCCCCCCAAAAAAAAAAGCCTGACCACACACGCCATCGAGTCCATTCTGACTCAGTGACCCTAAAGGACGAGGGAGAACAGCCCCCGTGGGTTTCGGAGACTAATTCTCCGCAGGAGTAGAAAGCCTTGCCTCGGTGGGTCTGAACTGCGGGCCTTGCTGCTGGCAGCCCAGTGCCTCCCCCACTCTGCCCCCAGGTCTCCTCTTTCTCTGTCGCCACCCCTCTGATCTAAATGGCCAGGCCTGCCTTCCTGAATCATCACAGTGGCTCTTGTGCTGAGTGCTGCATTCCCATCTCTTACCGCTGATAATGCTGTTTGCCACGCAGCCTCCAAACCGACCCGTGGAAAACAGAATTCCACCGCCCCAAACACTTGGTGGCTTCTTATTGAAGCCATGGCATGAGGCCGCGGCTCACCTCCTTCGGATCAGTGAGGAGGAGAATCCACCTCCACGCCCACAGGGCAGAGGTCAGACTTGCCCCCACTGCCATCCTTTGTACTCTGACACTGGTCCTGCCCCCCCACCCCCACCCCCAGCACTCCATCGCCCTTTTAACTTACTCCTCCTCCACCTGGAATTCTCTGTCACCTGAACGTTTTCCTGGCTGGCTGGCTTCTTTCCTTCCTTCCTCCTTCCTCTCTCTGTTCACTTTTAATGTCTTGAGAGAGGCCTTGTCTGATCACCCTATTGTAAATGCCAGCCTTTCTCTTCTTTCCGTGCCTTGAGTTGTCGCGCGCGTATAAGGATGGGAGCCCCGGTGGCATAGTGGCTATGCCTTTGGCTGCTCTCCACAAGGTGCTATGCAATGGGAAAGATCACTTGCGCCATCTCAGGGTTCAGTCAGGTCTGATCCCGTATCGGAGAGTGATTTCTTGAACCCTCTGCCCGTCCTTCACCTGTCTGTGTGTCTGGATTCTGTGTCCTCACAGGAGCAAAGGTCCCGACCCAGATGGAAACCGCTCCCCCAGCAGGAGCCCACGAGACCCTTTCCTGCTCTCGGATCTGGCGACAGATTGCAGCCGTCTTAAGCAGGTCCCAAGATTCCAGGATGAATAGGTCTCAGCTCGACAGAGCCGATGACTCGCCTTCTCCGGGGGTGGGAAGCCCCGCTGCCGATCGCCCGGGAGAGAAACCTCGGCCGTGTACCGAGCGCTCGGACACCTCCCGTGATGCCTCCGGCTGTGACCTTCAGCAGCGTCCACTCTCGGGAGACAAGTCTCACACGTGCAGTGAATGTGGACAAACCTTCCGTTACCTCTCAGTTCTTCGGTCTCATCAGCGAGTTCACATGGGGAAGGACACCTATAAGTGTGGTGAGTGTGACATGGCCTTCAGCCAGAGCGCACATCTGCAGAGCCATCTGAGTGTCCACACCGTGGAGAAGCCGTACAAGTGCGAGGAATGTGGGGAGCGCTTCAGGCGCCGAGTCACCCTTAATGTTCATTGCAAAAGCCACGAAAGAGAGACACTTTATCACTGTGAGGAATGCGAGTGGGACTTTATTTCCCTTTCGGATTTCGAGGAACATGAGAAAATCCACTCTGGCGGAAGACCATTCCGGTGTGAGGCGTGTGGTCAGAACTTTCCTGATGGAACCGCCCTTGCCGCTCATGGCCTGATCCACGTGGAGAAGACGCCCTATAAATGCGAGGGCTGTGGGACAGGATTCATGTACAGCCCCTCTCGGGATCTCCAGAGCCTTCCCCCGGGAGGAAAGCCTCCCAAGTGTGAAGTGTGTAGTAAAAGCTTCATTCCGCCTTTGCCGTATCCGGCCCCGCAGAGGTTCCTGGCAGCAGAGAAACCCTACAGATGCGATGTGTGCGGGAAGGGCTTCAGCCAGAGCCCCTATCTGAAAACCCATCAGAAGCTCCACAATGCAGAGAAACCCTTTAAGTGCGCAGAGTGTGGGCAAGGCTTCAGCTGGAGCTCCAGGCTGCAGATTCACCAGGTGACCCACACCCGGGAGAAACCACACAAGTGTGAGGCGTGCGGAAAGGGCTTCGGCAGCAGAGCGGATCTGCAGATTCACTATCGGATTCACACAGGAGAGAAACCCTACACTTGCGAGGAGTGTGGGAAGGGCTTCAGGGTCACCTCCCAACTTCTGGCCCATTACAACGTCCACAGTGGCGTAAAGCCATTCAAATGCACAGAGTGTGGCAAGTACTTCAGTAGCCGGTCCAACCTTCACACTCACCGTAAAATCCACACGGGCGTGAAATCCTACACCTGCGAGGAGTGTGGGACAGGCTTCCGGCAGGCCGCCCATCTCGTGACCCATCAGAGAGTCCACAGTGGGGAGAGACCATTCAGATGTGAACAGTGCGGGAAGTCCTTCAGCACGAAACCGAACCTTCACGTCCACCGGAGAATCCACACGGGAGAGAAGCCGTACTACTGCGAAGAGTGTGGGAGCGGCTTCAGGCAGGCTGCCCACCTCTTGGTCCATCGAAGAGTCCACACCGGCGAAAAACCCTTCAAGTGTCAAGAGTGCGGGAAGAGTTTCTGTCAGAATTCAAACCTTCAAGCCCATCAGAGAGTCCACACCAGAGACAAGCCTTACAAGTGCGAGGTGTGCGGGAAGAGCTTCAAGTGGAGCGAGAATCTGCTAACCCATCAGCGGGTGCACACCAAGGAGAAGCCGTACAAGTGCGAGGCGTGCGGGAAGTACTTCAGCCACGCCTCCAGTCTTCACCATCACGAGCGCGTCCACACTGGAGAGAAACCGTACATGTGCGATGTGTGCAGCAAAGTGTTCAGTCGAGCTTCACAACTACAGTCTCACCAGAGAGTTCACACGGTAGAGAAACGTTAGGGTGTGAGATGTCTGGTGAAGTTCTTGAAGGTCCAATGGGAGGAACCACAAAGGCCACCCTGGTGATCAGTATCCTGCATGGACTACCCTGCTTCCCCGAAAATAAGACAGTGTCTTATGTTCATTTTGGCTCCCAAAGATGTGCTAGGTCTTACTTTCAGGGGATGTCTTATTTTCCATGAAGAAGAATACGGTACACATTTATTGTTTACTGTTTTATTAAATGGGACCACACACTTCCTGTCTGTCCGGCTGTGCTGCGGCCAACAGTGAGCCGCGCGGCAGTACCGCCACTGCGGTCCTGAGTTACGGTAGCTTGGGGGGGCCCTTATTTTCGGGGAGGTCTTATTTTCAGGGTGATGCCTTATATTTCAGCGAGAGGCAAAATTGTAAGTAGGTCTTATTTTCGGGGAGACAGGAAAAGAGTGGAACATCAGAGAATCCTTACTGGAAAGACTTCTGCACCGTGAAGCTGTCTTAGACTCGTGGCCTCTGAGTTCTTGTAACCCTCAGTTCTCGAGAAAACATTTACTGACATTTGTTGTATTAAAGCTCGCCTTTCAGCAGAGCCCATATGGCAGAACCTTTGTAAATGGTGTAGTGGAAGTTCATCAGGCAGACTTTGGGAGGCTCGGAGGGATCACTCGAGAGAAGCCTTGGGAAGAATGAGCGTTTGATCCGGTTTTTAACAAAAGTAGAATGTTGGCAGGTGGACGTTATGTGTTTGACCAAACACAAAGTCGGCAGCTAGACACCGCCAGCAAAACCCACGGAATTGACGGAATTGACTGGGTAGCAGTGACTTGGGTTTTTTGGTTTGGTGACGATGGAAAGAACTAACATTGATAACGGCTAGAATGTAAACTCCACAAGGGTCAGGACTTGGCTGCTGCGTGTCTGTGGCTTGCTCAGTGCTTTCTTTGTTACGAGAGGCAGAAAGAGACAATGTACACGATGTCCATCCTGTAGCCAGAATGATGACAATAAAAACAGGAATACTCAAAGAAACAAACAGTTTACATGTGGGCAGTCGTTGTACAAGGGGGAGTCCCTTGTCCAGAGGAGGTTTGGTGGCGCAGCGGGTAAGTACTGGGCAGCTGAGGGAGAGGTTTGAATTCCTTGGTGGCTCCCAGGGAGAAAAGCCCTGGAAATAATACCCCCGTAAATATATATATATATATATCATTTTATGGGGGCTCATACAATTCTTATCACAATCCGTACTTCCGTTCATGGTGTCAAGCACATCTGTACATTTGTTGCCATCATCATTCTCAAAATGCTTGTTTGCTATTTGAGCCCTTGGTGTCAGCTACTCATTTTTGCCCCTCCCTCCCAAACCCTTGATAATTTATAAATTATTTTTTTGTCATGTCTTACACTGCCCGACGTTTCCCTTCACCCACTTTTCTGTTGTCCATCCCCCAGGGAGTGGGTTATATGTAGATTCTTGTCATCGGTTCCCCTTTCTACCCCACCTTCCCCTTCCCCCTCCTGATATGGCTACTCTCATTATTGGTCCTGAGGGGTTTATCTGTCCTGTATTCCCTGTGTTTCCAGTTCTTATCTGTACCCCAGTGTACATGCTCTGGTGTAGCCAGATTTGTAAGGTAGAATTGGGATCATGATAGTGGAGGGGAGGAAGCATTAAAGAACTAGAGGAAAGTTGTATGTTTCATCATTGCTACATTGCATCCTGACTGGCTCATCTCCTCGCAACCCTTCTGTAAGGGGATGTCCAGTTGCTTACAGATGGCCTTTGGGTCTCCACTCCGCACTCCCCCTTATTCACAATAATATGATTTGTGGTTCTTTGATGCCTCATAGCTGATCCCTTGGACCCCTCGTGATCACACAGGCTGGTGTGCTTCTGTAAGGTAGTCGAGAGGTGCCAGAGACCAAATCAGTTGAATTAGAGCAAATAGGCTTTATTGGGGAGAAAAACCCAGCCTGGGTGAAGTCCCATGGTCCACAGTGTCCAGGCCGAGGGAGTCGCACTCCAGACTACAGGAGTGGTGTTTATATAGCCAGGGAAGATGTGAGTAGGTTATCTTGAGTCCATATAAGGTAACGTAGTCAGGGATTGGGAAATAAGGTATGTCCCGGTTTCTGGAATGTAAGATATCTTACTGGTTCCGGGTGTATTTGTGCCGGGTGCAGAGTGGTGGTTCGAGAACAAAGTGGGCACTGAGCCAAACGGGCCGTGAGTAAAAGAAAGAAAAAAACTTGCAAAGCTGCTGACAGGTTACCTAGCCAGCTCTGGTCAGCTCCGCAGGTGTGTGTGGGAGATTCAAGGCCACTTGCTACTAGTTGTTTCAGCCAGCTCTGGTCATCTCCACACGGGTAGGGAAGATTCAAGGTCACTTGCTGCTGGAAGCTGGCCTGGTATTGATCCAGCCATACCTGTTCCATGTGGGCTTTGTTGCTTCTGAGATAGATGGCCGCTTGTTTACCTTCAAGCCTTTAAGACCCCAGATGCTATATCTTTTGATAGCTCCCGTAAATCTCACAGCCTTAGGCAACCCGATGCAGCAGTCCCCTTCTGTCCTAGAAGGTCAGTATAAAGTGGAATTCTCTCCATGGCACATAGTAACAGTGTCTTGCAGTCAACTGTCCTTCCCACAGCCTCTGTCTTCATGTGGGGTATGCTGCCTGCAGTCTTTCTTTTGAACCGGCTTGTGATTTTCCTGGCATGCAACCCTTGCTGTGAGCACCTCCCTGTTAAACATTTGAATGGATGGCCAGTGGCTTTTGCTCCAGGCTGAGTCTTACCTGCCAGCGGACTGGCTCCTACCTGGAAGAGGGAGAGGGAATCACGAACTGCAGCAGCCCAAGGCCAAGTCATGCGAGGTGGAGAACAGCATCCCAGTCTGCGTGCCCGTGCTCCCAGACCCAGCTGTTCTTGGAGCAACACATCCCTCAGCGGGGATTGGTGATGGGCTGCACACAGGTCGCCACAGCTCACCCTGACGGGAATGGTTGGGAAAGCAATGGATTTACAAACCACACCAGGATGAAGTTGGAAGTCACAGGAACCTCTTAAGACAGTTGCATCAAGAACATGGCTCAGCGATTGCTGTAGGGTCCCCTGTCTTAGTCCGGGTTGACTAGAAAAACCAAATCATAGACACTTGTGTACAAGAAAGAACTTTATATCAAAGAGTAATTTTATTTTAAAACATCCCAGCCCTGTCCAAATTAAGTCCAGAAGTCCGATATTAGCCCTTATGTCCAACACCAGTCTATAAATCCTTGCGTCTCACACAGCCATGCAGTAATGCCAAATGCAGGAAGATCACCGGCCTTGTGGATCCAGTGGCGGTGGAAGCACCCCAGCGCTGGCTTGGATCTCCATGTGGCTGCCCCAGCTCCAGGGCTCTGGCTTCATCATGTAGCTGTCTCACAGGAATGAGCCTGTAGCCTCCAGTGAGCCATTAATCTGTTTGCGCCTCCCAAATGAGCTCATCAAGCTGTAACTTGATTGACAGGCTAGACAGGAGATTATGTAACTGCCACCCCCACCCCACCCCACCCACACACACACACAGCCTGGCCTCTGCCATACTGTTACAAAGATCTCATGCTTCACCAAGTGCCACTGGGCACCCAATTGGGCCAGCAAGCCTCCTGAAGGAAGTCGTTCAGCTCTGTGGGTCTCTGGGCCACCACACTTGTAGCAGCGTTCATGGTTTGGGAAACCCACCAGATGTACAAGTGCCCTAGTTCTACCGCTGTGTCTCTGACTGGGTGCTGCTGTGTTGGCCACTGCTCCCGTATTTGCTGTATCCAGTGTTACAGCTCTCTCTGCCTCCTGGGTTTAGGAGGTTTTCAGAGCAGGGACTCCGGGTCCAAAGACTCCCCTACACGCCTGGCTCCTTGTCTCGATGGTAGTGCAGTTTTCTGGGATTGGCTCCTTCCTCTACAGCCTTGCCGAGCAACAAAGCTGACTGCCCTGTGTAAGGGTTCCATGTGCCTAATTTGTGTTGTCCAACCCAAAGCATTTTGGGGGAGTCCTAGGACCATCACTAGGAAGACAATTCACTGCTGCATCACCAATGAAACATTTATCAACCTTTAATTCATCATCGATAGCTGATATTTCCTTCCAGATTTGATTTGGTTGTCTTCTGACTGCAGTGGTTTGTTTTACACATTCACTGACTCGGCTTTCCTCCTGCAGTCGGCGTCATAGTGTGTGTTTTGTGAGATGGAGGAGGACTTTGTGGATCGGTGTCGGACATGTGGGTTAATGTTGGACTTGTGGGCTTGGGCAGCACTGGGTTGGGATGTTTTCTTGATGCGCACTTAACCTTGATATAAAATTCTCTCTTATACATGTGTTTCTGTGGATTGGTTTCTCTAAAGTACCCAGACTAACACAGGACTTGTGATGTGATTCTCTGTGCCGCTCACCACCATCAGGCCCACTCTGACTCAGAGCATCCCTAGAGGGCAGGGTAGAACTGTTCCTGAATTTCTAACACTGGGCCTCTCGAAAGGAGTAGAAAGCACCATCTTTCTCCCACAGATTGGCTGGTGGTTTCGAACTGCTGACCTTGAAGTGAGAAGCCCAAGCATAACCCACTATGCCACCAGGACTCCTTCTGTATTACCATATGGAATATAAAACTAGAGTGAATAGGACTCCGAATCAGTTTCTCTTTTTCTTTCTTTAAGCAACAGTTCTCTGTTATAAGAGGGAGGTCCTGGACATAAAAGTAAAGTGAGTTTATGTATGTTGAAGATAAAAATAAGACATATGCTTTGTAGAAAAGGCATTGCTGGGGAGGCAGTATATTATGACAGTAGTGGACCCCCCCCTCCCCCGACTAGAACCAGTAGGGACAAAGCTAGTCTCAGTGCCGTTACACTGATGGTTTTAAGTGTATTTGGTTAGACAGTGTGTTAGTCTGGGTTGACTAGAGAAACAAATTCAGACACTCATGTGTATAAGAAGGACCTTTATATAAAAGAGTAATTGTATATTAAGACAACATCCCAGCCCAGTTCAGATCAAGTCCATACGTCTGATATTAGCCCATATGTCCGATACGTCTGTAAGTTTCTCTTCAGTCTCACGCAACACATGGAGTGATGCCCAGTGCAGGAAGATCACAGGCCAGTGGGTGGAAAGTCCTGTAGCTCCAATGGCAGTGGAAACTCAACTGGGAGGGGTCTCCACGTGGCTCCTCCAGCTCCAGGGCTCTAGTGTAGCTCCATGTGTCTTGTCAGCAGGAATGTCTCACAAGGAGTGAGCATGTGTCCCGCCTCCAGCAAGCTATTTAGCTCCTTAGCACCTTCAAATGAGGTCATCAAGCTGCCACCTGATTGACAGGCTAAACTCCACCCCTTCACTCTTAGTAGTCTCAAATTGACAGCCGACTATGTCACTACCATAGGTGGCTTCTATCTTGGTTATCTCGTGCTGCCTGAACAAGTACTGCAAGTAGCTGTTGATAAGGAACAGAAACTTCTTTCCCACAGTTCTGGAGGCAAAAGGTCCAAGTTCACGGTGTGGCTGCAGAGGATTGTTCCTGGTCTTGTAAATCCATCTTGAAGTAATGCCTCTCTCTGTGTCTGTGTATGTTTGTGTCTATGCTGTTCTTTTTCTTTATATTTTTATTAGCATCAAACGCACATATCATACAATTCAATTGTTCAATCATTTCAAGAAGAACTGAACAATCATTACTACCATCAATTTTAGAACATTCCCACCCCCACTCTACCCCCATGGTTAAGTCGCCTTTAAAATGAGTTGTGTAATCACAACCGGTTCTGGTGCCCCCCAACCCCCGCCTTCATTGTTACTCCCGAAATCCTTCACCCTCCCTGTCTCCCTCCCACCCCCCATCCCCTATAAACCGTTGCACCAGTTATTACTATTATGCTGTTTTTATACAAGGGGGCTTTAAGATTTTTATGGGAAAATGTTAAGGTTGTATAACTCAAGACGTGGTTAGATTTGGGACTGAGCCAACACTCATTGGACTTAAACTGAATGATTAGTTACATTAAATTGCTTTATAGAAGACCATAGGAATGGGGTGAGGATTTCAACATCTATTACAGGGGATACAATTCAATCCACGATAGTTTTTCCAAAAGTTAAATGTAGAAATGACAATGTTGTTAAGTGCTGTGTAGTCAGTTCCAACTCATAGCAAAGCAACCCTATACAGAAAAAAACCCCAAACCACTGCCAGGCTCTGTGCCAACCTCACAGTTGTTCTGTTTCAGCCCATTGCTGAAGCTGAAATCTCAGTCTACCTCATTGAGTACAGATAAAATCATACTCAGCATACGCCAGAACTGAAGACTAAATCCATGGCGCAATTTGCAATATTGAAGGAGTCTCTGGGCAAGCTATTGAATGATGCTGGAAGCAGCCAAAGAAAGTGAAAGGAAGAACATACAGAGTCATTGTTATTAAAAAGAATTGGTTGACATTCAACTGTTTCAAGAGACAGGTAGCATATGATCAAAAACTGATGGCATTGAAGGAAAAGGTCCAAGCTGCACTGAATGCATGGGTGGAAAGGCTCTAGGAATCGAATACCAATTGAAATGTCTCCCCAAAAAGCTGATGTAGTGCTAGAAACTCTAGTCTGTGCTAAGACACGAGGAAGGCAGCTATATGTACAAAGGTGCTTGACACAATGACTGCATGTATGGATTGTGATAAGAGCTGGAAGAGGCCCCAATAAAATGATTTAATTAAAAAAAAAGAAGATAGTTACCTGACCAACCAAGTGATCATTAAAAACAAAACTGTTGCAACAGTACATCAACAGTGAGCAGGCAGAAGTTGAAAGTAGGTTGAAAAGGAGATATTGAACAAGGAATGTCATTCTGGGCATCAGCTGGCTCATGACTAAAAGCAGAGAATACTTGGAAAAAAAAGTTCACTTGCATTATTGGTTGTGCAAAGGCATTATGCGCACAGTCTCTATCCATAACAGATGTAGGGATGACATCGTGAAGAGTGGGCATTCCAGAATACCTAATTGTGCTCATGTGGAACCTGTTTGTGGACCAAGAGGCAGTATTCAGAGCAAAGCAAGGAAATAACAGGAAAGATGTGCTTCAGGGCTACATACTTTCACCCTCCTTCTTGGTCTTTTCAAAGCTGAATGACAAATTAAGTCTCCTCAGTGCTGTCCCCAACAATTCTACTTTGCCCATTCTTCAACCGTGAGCCTCGTTCTGCCCACGGTACTAACCATTGTGCCCCCCTGTCGTTTTCTCCTCTCCTAGTGATCCCACCTGAACAAAACTAACATCGTCTAGACTGCGATCTCTAGGAGAGCACTCGACAAGTCTTTCTTGCAAAATAGGACGGCTGGCTGGGTGTACACGTTTATTTTTGTATTAGCTGAGTGCTTCGGGGAAAGGGCGAGGTTGTGGGCGCCCGTGAAGATTCAAAGTCTCAGTAAGGCACAGCGGCAGTTCTACGCTGTCCTAGGGGGTCACTTCGAGAGTCAGCTCCCTGACAGTTTGATTTGGGGAGCTGAATGCTTAAGCCGCCGCCCTCCCAGGCTCCTTGTACACTCCCCTCCTTCCCACGCCCTGGTGGCCACAGTGGATTACGCAGTGGGCCGCCGGCCACAAGGTAAGCAGTTCGAAAGCAGCAGGTGTCCCGCCGGGGAGAGGTGAGACTTTCGGTTCCCTTACAGATATGCAGCCTCAGAAACCCGGAGGCGGCAGGTCTACCCTGTCCCAGGCGGTCGCGCGGCGTCAGAACGCGCGTAAACGGCTCCCTCCAGTCGCCTACGGGACCCTTCCACCGGCTCTGCGCGGCGTTTCCCAAGCACTTCCGCTCTGGCCGCTGGGAGCGCGGCCTTCTGGGAAATGTAGTCCCGCGCCTGCGTGGGCTGCGGGCCACTTCCGGTGCAGCCGCGCGAGGCTCGCGCCGTGTTTTCCCTCGTGGTGGCGATCCCTGCAGTGGCGCGAGCCCCTTCCCAAACTTTCGGGGGGCCTGCGTCTGCAGCCCCCGGGACGTCGGCCGGGCCTGGCGTGCAGGGGGAGAAGTCGCGGCGGACGCGGAGGTTTGAGAAGGCGAGGGCGGCGGTGTGCGTTTCCCTCGCGGAGACGGCTCCCCCCGCGGGGCCGACGCGCGTGTCCCCGGGTGGCAGCCGGGCCGGGGGGCGTGCCTCGTCTGACTGCAGGGTCTCCCGGGATCTCGGCCCCCCGTCCGCCTCCCCTCGGCCCGGCACCGCCTCCTGGGCGCTTCCGTATGTCAACAAGCCCACCCACCCACTCACCCCCACGGCCGGGGACTGGGCAGGTGTGGTCCCGAAGCTGGAAACGTGTAGGGACGCAGCTCCATCTTTCTCCCCCGCAGCAGCGGTGGCTTCAAACCAAAGGCTTGGCTGCTGACCAAAAAAATTAAACATCCCTTTTTTTTGTTTTTACTGCCAGGAAGTCAATTGCGACTCATTAGCGAGTCTGTAGAACTGCGTTTGTTTGGACTCCGAGGCTGCAAATCTTCTCCCGAGCAGAGCTGACCGCCTCATCTTTCTCCCCGGGAGAGGCTGATGGTTTCGAACCGCGGATCTTGAGGTTAGCAGCCCAACACCTAACCCACTGCGCCACCGGGGCTCCCAGTTAACGAAAAAGTGGCGGTTTTTAGGTGCCTTCAAGTGGGTTCCCACATAGAACACCCCTGTGTATCACAGTCAGCCCATCTTGTCGAGGGCAGCCTCTTTCTTCCTGCCCCCCAACTCCCCCAGGCATGATGTCTTTTGAATCTCCCTGAAAACATGCCTAAAATGATAGGTGAGAGAAGTCTCCCCATCCGTGCCTCCAAGGAGCATGCTGGCTGTGCTCCTTCTTCCAAGACAGATTTGTTTGTTCTTTTGACAGTCCGTAGTACCCAAAAGCAGGCAGTTCACACTCATCAGCCTCGGGTGTTGAGAGAGAGATTGGGTGTAGGCTAGGGGTGGTGGTAAAAGACCTGGCAATTTCGCTGCTCCGGTAAAGATTGACCTCCCGCAAGAATCCAAACCCGCTGCCTAGTCATAGGGACCCGTAGACAGGTTTCCCAGGAGATCACCCGGGGAGCAGCAGGTGGCTTTGAACCACCAACGTTCCCCTGACAGCACCAACGGCCTAGAAAGCCCAGGGAGCCCTTCTACTCTGTCCTACGGCATCTCTCTCAACCGCACGCCCAGAGGTGTAGGTGCTTTTATCACATCATTGTATTAGGGACCGTCTTCAAAGGCATAAAGCAGGTCCCTGCATGTGATGCATGGTGATGTCTAGTCGTCACCCATCAGGATCCCATGAGGACAGTGGACATCTGGTTGTCCCCACTAGTGTTTCGTTTCCTGAGGAGAAGCCTGAGGTTCCCTATTAATGATTAGGAAACAGGCCCCGGTGAACACGCTGCTTGAATATTCCTTTGCAAACTCTTCTGTAATAAAGCACCCTATCCAACTCACTCAGAAAACAACGTTGTGGAACTGATTCCGACTCACAGAGACCCTGTAGGACAGGGCAGAACTGCCCCTCTGGTCCCCAAAGACTCTCCATCTTTACCGGAGCAGAAAGCCGCATCGTTCTCCCCAGGAGCAGCTGGTGGGTTCGAGTTGCCGTCCTTGTGATTCGAAGCTCAGAGTGTATCCCACTTTGCCCCAGGGCTCACGTGTCCACCCATAGCTCCTGGAAAATGATGCAAAGATTCTGAGTTTTCCATAAAGCAAATCAGCCTTCACTTGTGTTTCCGCTGGGCGAATCCGAGGCCTTTGAAATGTCCTGAGCAGTAGAGCCTCGGGCAAAGGACCCGGGGCAGTATGACCAGGCTTGAGACCACATAGTTTCCTGGTGCCAGCTGATTGCCAGGGGGGGGGGGGGGGGGGCGGGGGGGGGGGCCCCCTAGTTCCTGGGGGGCGCGGGTGTGGCGGGGGGGGGGGGGGTGTGTGTGTGTGTGGCTCAGTCCTACAGGTGCCGATCGGCCAGAGAGGACTATTTGACCCGACATTGCTGCTGCTCCTTAACCTTACTGTGAAAACTGTAATCAGTGACAGTAAAGAGGTGCTGTCAAATGACTTTATGTATATATTTTAACATTGGAACTGCCCCACCTTGGGCCCTCCTGGTTTCCCTATGCAGGGTCTTCCTGGATGCACCCTGGAGTGACTCCTGCCGGATTCCATTTCTTTGCTCTTTACCTGCCGCCTCAGGGATGTAGTCAGAGCGCCCCCTGCAGTGGAGGACTCACTCTGAATCCTGCTGGAGGTTGGATGTTCCTGGGTCCCTCTGACCTCTCTCCTGAGGAAGGAGGAGGCTGCTGCTGGCAGGTCCGTGGGAGAATGAAGTGTGGTTTTGGGGGGCCTGTATGTCATGATTGTAATGGACAGCCTCCTCTTACTCCCCAGCCCCCGCTTCTCAGAAAGGACGGCTCTGAGGTGGAGACAGCGACTCCTGGACTCCTGGTGGAGAACCCCAGGTGAGTAGGACTGGGCGGGCCCGCTCTGCAAAGTTGCCCATGTAGGTTGTTGTATGTGTGACATGTGACCTGAACTGACATGAGCTAACATTTAGTTACTAAGTGTCATTGTAACAACAACAACAAAAAAACCACTAAAACACCCAAGCCAATTGCCATCAGTGGATTCCAGCTCATAGCAACCCTATAGAACTGCCCCTGGGGGTTTCTAGGGCTTTATATCTTTCCCAGTGCAGACAGCCTCACCTTTCCTCGATGGAGCTGCTGATGGCTTTGAACCACGGACCTTGCAGTGAGCAGTTCCGTGCATAATTGCACTACGCCACCTGGGTGGCAAGGGTTTAGTAAAAATAACCACTGCCGAAGAGAGAAAGAAAGGAAAAACCAACCCTGTAGTTTGGTTTTACGGCTTTCTTATACTCGCAATTCAATAGTCACAGGAAGGAGATCCCTGGCCCAATTTCATTCCCCCGATGACTTGCCTTCCACCCAGAGCCGCTCATCTTTTCTTTCTTGTCTGAAGCCACGCTCACAAGGGGTGCATTTCACAAGGCAGACAGAAGGTGGGCGCCCGGGCTCCCCTGATCTCAGTTAAAGCAGAGGGCAGCGCTCCGTTCTTTTTGCTGAGGTGGGTCTACTGGTCTTCGCTCTCCCGTCCTCTTTGCCGCCTTGTTGGAGTTCTTACATCGGAGCTGTTCGCCTCATCAGGTGTAGTATTAAATTAAAAATGGCATGGAGGTGGGGGGCCAGCCCCCACCGCTAGTCGCAGGTTTAGTAATACTACTTCTGGGTTCAGTAATGCACAGTTGTACGGTTGAGATATATAAGCATTATATAAGTCATCGAGAGCATGAGATGTATTACAATAATACAGTCAGATACATTACATGGTAGCATTGCTCACCTCAGCCCAGCATGGTGGTCCACGTGGAGGGAGGGGGAAGGGAAGGAGGGCAAGGGAACAAGGGAGAAGGACTGGAGAGGAGAGGGGGGAGAGAGAGTTTGAGAGGTCCGAGTCCTAGCCTCTATATTGCTGACCCATGCCTATATACCTTTTGGGGGCATGCCAGTCCACTAATTACAGGTAGACATATGTCACAGGGAGGAGCTGCACTATAGGTTACATAGCAATGAGTGGGTGGTCTAGGGGGTGGTCTCTGGGTCTCCATAGGAACCATTATCATTATAGGGTGAAAACTCCTCCAGGAGCCTGTCCATTGTCCCCAGAGGCAGGGAGCAGGCCCACCCTTGTGGTGGGATGAGCCAGCAGTCTGGCAACTGATTGCCCTCAGGGGGGGAAGTGCCTGCGCACCTGACCTCCCCCCACGGTCAGGGGTCAGAATGGTGGGTGGATATAGAAGGACTGCTCAGCCGCAGTCTTCCATTTCAGTTCCTTTGCGTTTTGATGATGCGTGAACCCGCCAGGATTGGGCACCAGGGCTCTCTGAAGGGCGCCCGCTTTCCTGCAGCCCTCCAACTCAGAGGAGACAGAGCCCGAGGTCCTGGTTGTCCTTGCTGTCAGGTGCAGGTGTGTCACGTGGGTTGCGACCCTCGGCACAGCAGGTCGAGACACTGCCTTGTCCTGCGCCATCCCGACAGTGGCTCCTAGGTGTGAGCCCCGCTCAGTTCATGATCCGGGATGCGGTTTCCAAGGACCCCCGAGAACTGGCTGCAGTCAGATGGACTGCACCTGCAAAGCACGACGAATGGGCTTGAAACTGTCCCCCGAGCTCCTGAAATCATTTGTAACGGTTTCATTTTATTTGATCCCAAATAATGTTTCATATTCTTCTCCGTCCCCCCTAACCTTCTACTAAAGGTCAGTGGCAGGTTGACCCTTTCTTCTTCACATCCTGTTCTAGGGGCCCCTTGCTCCTCCTAGCGTGGGTCAGGACAGGCCAAGAATTGACGAGAACCACAGGGAGGCTGGAAACACCTGGGTGTGTTTCCCGTTCTGTGAGATGCCCCGGATTTTCCTTTTCTTCCAGACGTTTCTGTGGGTGGCCCTGGTCCAGTCAGCTGAGTGGCCAGCTGGAGAGTAGAGAAATTATCCTTCATGGGGGGCTTCTTGGGACCAGGAGGAAGTCGAAGGGGCCCTCTATTAGCTGCCACATGCTTGTTCTTCAGGGGCTTTGTACACTGATTTAGGGTCCCCAGACGTTGATCTGGGTCACCTTCTTATGGATACCAGCCACACTGAAACCCCAGCTGGCTCACTGTTGGTGTGGTACAGCACAGTGTGGTATCACACTCCACGTCAGAGAGGTCCAGATGCTGGTTGTGGGGCAGCACTGGGCTCTTGCTGGTTGGGCCTTGTGTCTGCAGATCTTCTACACCAGACCTTTGAAACATGCGGCCATGTGCTACTGCCAGACCCTCGGATAATGGTGCTTTCAGGGTCAGACCATGCTGGCTGAGCAGCCTCACTGTCTCAGGCCCACATCTGGGGGGAGGTTCATTTATGATTGGACATTCTATGGGAAAGACCAAATTACATTCATTTAAAGAAGAGTTTTATATGAGGACTGTATTAGTCTAGGTACTTTGGAGAAATAAATCCACAGCAACTCATGTATAAGAGAGTTTTATGTAAAGAAAGTGTGCATCATGAAAACATCCCAACCCAATGCTGCCCAACCCCACAAGTCCAACATTAACCCATTAACCCAACACCAGTCCACAAAGTCCTCCACCTCACAAAACAGAGGCAATGATGCCGACTGCAGGAGGAAAGCTGAGTCAGTGAACGAATAAGCATCTCAGCACTAGCAGGGGTCTCCACATGGCTGCTCCAGCACCCAGGGCTGTATCAGGATAGGTCCATGTGGCTTCTCCTTGGGGATGTCTTGTAGGAAGTCAATCTTGCAAGCCGAAGCAGGGAACTGCTAAGGCAGTTGCACCCTGGTGCGACCTTCACAAAGCAAGAGACCCGAGAACTAGAAAGGTGAGGCTCACCATCCATTTATCCCTCCGCCTTTCAATTAGCCCCACATGTGATTATTGGCCAGGTTGGCACAATTAACTTAACTCAAGGATGGACTCAAAACTCACTCCTGAGCTTTTATGGTTAATGTGGCATGCCCTCTCTGCAAAGTTGAACATACAAGTGAAAATACACAGCGAACATACAAGTCTTTTTAAAAAATCATTTTATTGGGGGCTTGTACAACTCTTATCACAATCCATACATCCATACCTTGTGTCAAGCACATTTGTACATTTGTTGCCTTCATCATTCTCAAAACATTTTCTTTCTACTTGAGCCCTTGGTATCAGCTCCTCATTTTCCCCCCTTGCTCCCCACACCCCCATAAGTGGCCATGTGTTCTCATTCTCTTAGGTAGATTCCCTAGGAGTCCCAATAGCATGCTGGTTGCCCACTGGACTGCCAACCACAAGGTCAGCAGTTCAAAACCACCAGCCGCTCTGTGGGTCAAAGACAACGCTTCCTGCACCTATGAAGAGTTACAGTCTTGGAAACCCACAGAGTAGCTCTGCCCTGTGCTATAAGGCCACAAGGAGTCGGAATCAACTGGATGGCAGTGAGTTTGGGTTGAGCGTAGGTTTCCCTAGGTAGATTCACTTAAACCAAAGCAAACCAAGCTGCTCCCCAAAGCCCCTGTACCAAACTTTTCCCCGCTAAGTCTCTGGATTTTTTTTAATTTTATTTTTTTTAAAAAAACGATTAGCAAAGTTTTATTTGCTCATTGTTTGCATTCTTGGCTTGAGATCCTTTGCCGTAGTCCTTCCACTTTGTCAGTCTTGCAGAGGCCTTCTTAGTTTTGCTAAAAACTAAGCAGCAGAGGGGTTTCTGTTTTCTCCAAGCATGTTCCTCCACGGAGGAGCTCCAGAAGGTCATGTAAAAATGGGATGAAGAGACTGGAACCTGGAACTATTCTTTTTTTAAAATCATTTTATTAGGGGCTCATACAACTCTTATCACAATCCCTACATACATCCATTGTGTAAAGCACATTTGTACATTCATTGCCCTCATCATTCTCAAAACATTTGCTCTGCACTTAAGACCCTGGTATCAGCTCCTCATCCCCCCCGCTCCCCCCTCCCTCATGAACCCTTGATAATTTAGAAATTATTATTATTTTGTCATATCTTGCCCTGTCCTACGTCTCTCTTCACCCACTTTTCTGTTGTCCGTCCCCCAGGGAGGAGGTCACATATAGTTCCTTGTAATCGGTTCCTTCTTTCCAACCCACCCTCCCCCTACCCTCCCTGTTTCGCCACTCACACCACTGGTCCTGAAGGGATCACCCGCCCTGGATTCCCTGTATTTCCAGTTCCTATCTGGACCAGTGTACATCCTCTGGTCTAGCCAGACTTGCAAGGTAAAATTCGGATCATGATAGTGGCAGCGGGGAGGAAGCATTTAGGAACTAGAGGAAAGTTGTATGTCTCATCGTTGCTGCATCGCCCCCTGACTGGCTCGAGCCTGGAACGAGTCTGTGAACTATTCTGTGCGACTCTGTTTCCCTTCCTTGTGAGAGGACCTTAGTAGAAGACGTTTGCCAGTTTCTGCGTCACACATACTCTTTAATGTTGCCCAAGAGGTCTTTTTAGGACCTTTCCGCTTAACGGCAGACATTCACGCGTTCACACCTTTTAGAGATAGTTGTGCCAATTTGAATCTTGTGGTTAAGGCAACGATTTCTTCGGGAACCCAGCCCAGCCTGTTTAACATATTCTTCAGAGGCTGCAGGGGCCCTCACTGGGCAGAGAGTCCCGTCAGCCAGCCACGTCTTCCTCTGGTGGAAAGGCGCTTTATAAGGATAACGGCATAGTACAGAATATCACGCACACTCACAGAGATGATGAACCCTGCTGGGATTCTGAAAGACTCTCTGTTTTACAGAGGACAGAATTCAGGCCACAAGTTGCTGTGAGTTAGCTCATGATGACAGAGCTGGTGCGAAGCCATGCCAAAGATTGGAACAGACATGAATTGCAGCCCTGGTGGCATAGCAGTTACAGGTTGGGCTGCTAACTGCAAGGTCAGCAGTTCGAAACCACCAGCCGCTCCACGGGACAAAAGACGGGGCTTTCTACTCCTCTGAAAAGCTACAGTCTCAGAAACCCACCGGGGCAGCTCTACTCTGTCCTATACAGTCACTGAGAGTCAGAATCGACTCAATAGCTTGCGTATTGACCCCAGAGCTGACCCTCATGCAGTACATTGTCTCAGATTCTGTCGTAGCAGGATCACCGTTACTGCCTTGGGGCTGCCAGGGCAACACTGGTGATGGGATCCCCAAGCGTGTTCATGGAAGGTGTTTGCTGAACCTGGCTGGAAGAGAGTCCAGGGCATCTGGTGTCCACGCCACGCTCTGGTACGGCCCCAGCCACCCAGATGAGGGGGCCTCGTGGCTGAGTCACACTATGTGTCTGTGAAGGAGAGCGACACCCCTGGTCTCCTTTTTATGTCTCTCTGCCCCTCTCCCAGATCGACGTCCCCAGGACTGTGCTGCTCAGGGCTCTGCGCGTCTCCAGAAGTAGGAGGGAAAATGAGCACGTTCCTGGTGAGTTGGCTCTGAAACTCCTCTTGCTGCTCAGCTTGGACACTCGGTGTCCTCTTCCTTACAAGACCTCAAGGAGAACAGTGGACATTTGTGGACCTTTATTGGGGGGGGAGGGGTGGTGCTTGTTCTGTGTGTATTGAGGTTATTTGCATCTGTTTTGAGGTTTTGTATTATCGTTTTTCCCCCCCTCAAAGAAAAAGAGTAAAAGAAGGAATGTGGGGCAATGAATGCACAAATGTGTTTTACACATTGATATATGTATGGGTTGTGATAACAGTTGTATGAGCCCCTAATAAAACGATTTGAAAAAAAGAATGTGAATGAGCCATTGTCATCCTGCAGCGCTCTCACTCCTGGGAAGTTTCCATGGTCCCCTAGTGTGTGAAATGAACTCTTGCCGCCCTTGCCTCGAAGGAGCAGCCTAGCTGTACTTCTGCCAAGACAGATCTGTTTGTTCATTTGGTCGTCCATGGTTCTTTCAGTATTCTTCGCCAGGGCCGTAATTTACATGTCTCCTTTCTTCTTTGGTCGGCCTTAACTCATTGTCCAACTTTCGTGTGTGTGTGTGTGTGTGTGTGTGTGTGTGTGTGTGTGTGTGTCCTTGTTTCTCCTCGAAAGAAACTTTGATTGCACAAGCTGTGGAACCATTATACACAGAGAAACTAAGATAGGTAGAGAAGTATGCCCAGGCTCAGCTCACCAGTAAGGGACAGATCGTTGGACCTGAACTCAGGAATGGTGAGTACAACTCGGTGCATTCAGTGTTGGAGTTCAGGAGGGTGGTGTTGGCCTTAAGAGTTGAGGGCATGTTCTATCTACCGGTCCAAGAAAAGATACCCAAAGCTTGTAATCTTGGCCAACAGTGAAGAAAAGTAGCAGAGCCAGTGTGTGTGTGGTAGGAGAACCTGGGTGTGTTCACATTCTATGTCACAGGGAATTGTTTGTGTTTTTAAACAGTTGCTGGTATGAACTAAAAAGGAAACCCGTTTGGTCCCAGAATTCAATATTTAGAGCTGTAGGGGTTTGTCCCGAGGACTCCAGGTGAGAAACTCAAGGGCTCTCATTCACTGTCACCCTCTGAGCGAGGCTTGGGAGCCTAGGTGTTAGGGCATTACAGGACAGAAAGGGGAGGCTGCTTCATCGACATAGGAATTCATGTTCCTCAAAATCCAGATCAAGTTGCTCTCATCCTCCCCACCTTTTCCAGGGCACCGTGGCCCTAAGATGGGACCCTTGTGTTTGGTGTCATAGGGATCAATGACGTTCAAGGACGTGGCCGTGGTCTTCACAGAGGAGGAGCAGGAACTGCTGGACTCCACTCAGAAGAAGCTGCACCAAGATGTGATGGTGGAGAACTTCCGGAACCTGATGGCAGTAGGTGAGGACAGCCTCCCTCTGGGGTGTCTGTGATCTCAGACGGTTCAGGTCTTGACCGACCTACGACTGGTCACTTGAGTTTTGGGCACTGACTCCCCTGTGAACATTGATGAAATGAAACAGTCAGGGTTCCTTCAGAAGGGAGGAGCACATGGCCGCACAAATGCTGGTGGGAGACGGGGGAAGAGACGTAATTAAAGTAGACATGTGCAGAGGACCTCAAATGCCCATTAAGTTGGTACGTGTTGTGGATTCATTTCAAACATGTGATATGTAATGTCATATGTGATATGTAATGCTTACAATCCTCCAACCCTTTAAAGACAAAGATATATATTTTTTATTATTAAATTTATTGGAGACTCGTACAACTCTTATTACCATCTATCCATCCATTGTATCAAGCACATTTGTACACTTGTTGCCATCATCATTCTCAAAATATTTTCTTTCTACTTGAGCCCTTGGTATCAGCTCCTCATTCCCCCCCCTCCCTCCCCCATTCTCAAGAACCCTGATCATTTATAAATGATTATTATTTTTTTCCATGAAAAGAGATGGTATTTCACTTAGAAAGGAGGAAGAGACTTTGAATGATGAAGATGACCACTGAAAGACAAGGATATTCAGATTAGAACCAACCACTGGGAATTCACGGACTGTGTCACTTAAGATCCAAGATACCGTATATACTCGAGTATAAACCAAGTGTTTCAGCACATTTTTTATGCTGAAAAAGCCCCCCAGTTTTTTGTGGTAAAATTAGGTGCCTTGTCTTATACTCGGGTATATATGGAACGTACTGTGAAATAGGACATCAGGTGTTTTGGACATTGCGCAAATTGTATTGTAGTCTGGTTCTTTTTTCTTTTTCCTGTAAACGTTTCAAACAGACTTCTTGTGATAGCAGTGATTGCCACTTTCATTGGAGATGATCTTTTAATATTCTCTTAGATAATCTTTTTATTTTATTTTTCAGGATTACAATGATTGAGGAATGTAATGTCCCTAAATTGCAAACAGTCACATTCACCGATTACCTACCCTCAACGTGTTTGATGACTTTTTGTTTTACTTCCAAATAGATACCAGCTTGTTTTCTTTTTTTTAATCGTTTTATTAGGGGCTCATACAACTCTAATCACAGTCCATACACACATCAATTGTGTAAAGCAACCAGCTTGTTTTCACTGGCCCTGGCTTTGTGGAGTTTGGGGGCCATGATGCACTCATGGTAATGTTTTCAAAAAACAATTAAACAGAGATAATGGAATACAACCACTCAAGACACACATGCCTGAGATCGGCTACCAGTTAAAGCTACATTGCTAGACATTACATTTTTTTTTTATTGAAACATACTACTTACTGCCATCGAGTGGATACAGACTCTTAGCAACCCTATAGGGCAGAATAGAACTGCCCCCCCTGTGAATTTATGAGACAGTAACTCTTTACAGGAATAAAAAGTCCTGTCTTTTTCCCTGGGAATGGCTGATGGTTTCGAACAACTGACCTTGCAGTTAGCAGCCCAACATGTAACCCTCTATGCTATACTATTAGGTACTACATTTTTTTTAGACTGAAAAATACATTGCACACATAAGCCAGTAATATAGGCATTTATTATGACTACCGGGATATATGTATAGGACATGTGTATTGTGACTATCAGGACATTATATGTCTAGCAGGGAAATCTTTCAATATGAGATACACATGTTGTGTAAGAGAAGGTGTTATGTTTGTTCCCTCCCATTTTCTGATTGGGGCTAAGAACTCCATTACAATGTTAGGGCTACAGATATATATGCTGTTGGACATGGTGAAAACAGACAGGGCATGACCTTTTACCCTATCTGGGTATCATTTCAGGCAGAATGTGACCCTTTTTACAGGATTTGACGTGATAAGATTTCACTGTTTTTTATGTTCTCCTCCCTCTCAGATCTCTCTTTCTCTCATCAAAGATTAGTTTACACTGGTTTATTCTCCGCCCCTCTGGAGATTAGGATGATGTGAATTATTGGCAAGTTTTAGAATAGTTGATCATCCATTCACCATTGCCCCTTTGCCCTCATGAGTAATCTCAGCAGGAGCTTGTATGTGTTGTTACCATCAGTAAAGGATAATGTATTTTTCTCCCCAATCTGCCTGCCATTACAGTTAATAATTGTAATTATTACAATTCTTAGTTGTATAGATATCGGTAATAATTGTCCAATACAATAACCAGAGTCAGGGCTCTATACCAGTAATGAAATGTCCACTGAGACAGGCCAGCTTCTCACATTGACTGTTCTTTCAGGGAGAAAGGAACCTTCTCTTCTGTAAGACTTCCATCTGTTGTTTTTAGGTGCAGTCGGTTGGTTTCATCTGATAGCGATCAACAGAATGACACACTTCTGGGTCCTGCCTTGTTGTATGGCCTTTCTCCCTATACGCCACCATTTTGTTACATGTTGCAAATCCTATGTGCCTGAGGTTATGGTCCAGTTTTGGAGTGAGTTGTCCATTATGTTAATGATTCAAGGTTAGGATGGCATTCATTTTGAGTTGGCACCTTACTAGAGGGTGTGACTCAGCTCACCACACTTAGTCTAGTCCCCTTGGTGTGGTCAGTATCCAGTATATAGGCATGTACTTGCAACATTCTCTTGCCCCGGATGCTTCATGTCCCATGTGGGGTTAAGGGTAAGAGGGAACCCCACAAAACATCACAGGTTTGGTAGGCGCAATTGTACAGCGATAATAAGTAGAGATTATAGTAAAGTCATAGAGAGCATGAGAGTTAAAGGATAGAGTCAAGTAATGGAGTCAGACGCAATTCATGGTAGCATATCTCACCTCCGCCCGGCTTGATGGTCCTCGTGGAGGGGGCTTAGCCGTCAGAGAAGAAGCCGCTGCTTCATCCTCCTTAGTCACCTTCTGGCCACCCTCTCGAGTACCAGGGAGCCTCGTTATTTATTGCTAACCACGCATCGTAATCATACATCACAGAAAGGGGCAATACAATTCATTCTAGAACAAGTTTGATCGCTCTAATGTCTCGCATAATAAAGCAGACCATTACTATTCTGGGAAGCATGCAAGTTCCCTGATAGTGGACAATAGCCTGAGTCATCAGGAGGGATATTAGCATAGGCAATACAATCAATAGGAGAGGAATCACCTAGGGGTGTGCCCACATTGGTTGTGGAATAGACAGTGGTATCTGCTTGATCTAAACAGCTGATAATGGCTAACTAACCTTGGTCACCCTTGGGCGGGTTTGACCTCTCTGGGAAAGTCTGCAAGTGAATAGACCACCATTATCCTTATCAGAAGGGAGTGGGTCTTATTCAGGGTGAGTCAGACTAATAGTCTAGCCACTACAGATGGCCAATGTTAAGGAGGATAACCTCTGACCTACTTTTACCCAGAGTCACTCTTAAGCAGCTAAGTTTGGTACATATTTTGGGGAGACAACTTAAGAGAATTCCTTCTGTTCCCCACAGTCCCATATGTTCATCTCCCAGTTCTTGTGAGTTAGCAGCTGGCCTTTAATCTGACTTGATTCCCCAGCTTCTGTAGCCTTGTGAGCAGGCTGCCTATTGATCAACCTGTCCATTTGGGTTCGTTAGACCCTTCAGCCATGTGGGTTTGGTGAGACCTAGCAATTTGGAACGTGCCAGCCTATACAGCCCCATGTGTCATTTTCTTGAATGAGTGTGACTTCTGTGAGATACTGCAGTGGATTACGCAACCTAAAGAGGAGGAGGACCAGGCAGTGTTTCGTTCTGTTGTGCATAGGGTCGCTGTGGGTTGGCACTAACTTGATGGCACCTAACAACAACAAGAGGAGGAGTTGTCAGAGATGATGGAATACTACAGCAGTGTGGCAAAGAGGGACATTTGGGATACCTTAAAATTTGCATCATAGGGATCAGCCTTGTGCTAAAAGAAAATATTCACGTGTGCACCGTCCTCACAGTGTTTGCTATGCTTGAAACCCATTGTTGCAACCACCTGTCGGTTCCTCTCATTGAGGGCTCTTCTTCTAGTTCACTGACCCTCTACCAAGTATGGTGTCTTTCCTCAAGGATTGTTCCCTCCCAATACTATGTCCAAAGTCCACAAGACAGAATCTTGCCGTGGAGTATTCTGGCTGTACTTCTCACAAGATTGGTTCCATGGAGCATACTTTTTTTAGCACTTCATTGGGAGTTTTTCTGAATCAAAAAATTCGCTATATGCAATCTTTCAGTTGTGTTCTGCTTTTCACTAAACTCCTTTTATAGTCATTGGTTAACATTTTATTGTGAAAACTTACACAACAAAACATACACCTTGTAGATTCATTATTATTTCCAACCTCATTTTTCTAAGTAGCGAATTTACTATTGCAGCGTCTACACTAACTGAAATCCAATAGAAACAGCAACAGAATAAAAGTTTGTATTGTGCTAATAATTTTTGAAAATTCAGGCTTTGTTTTCTAAACTGTACCTCACATAATGGATTTAGTGTTCTGTAGTGGCTCTTGCTAATGCTTACTGCGTTGTAGCCCAGTGGACCTACTCTTGGTGTTGATGTCATGTACATCAGAGAGGGTGATACACAGTGGACGAGATCATCTGACCCTGGTTCAGCAATGTTTCTTCCATCAGCTGTGAAATCGTGAAAGCTGTTAATAAATGATTTGCCTGTCTCTATCTTTGAATTCTCTGTCCTTACAGGAGGCACGATCCCAAGGGATTTGGAGACGGTTACACAAGCAGGAGTACACGAGGATGTGTCCAATTCAAATATCTGGCAACACATTTCAGTGGACTTAGCCAGGTGTCAAGATTTGATGATCAATAAGTCCCAGTTGTGTAAACAAGATGATTCACCCTCTCCAGTTACAGGAGGAATATCACATTTTCTTACTGGAGAGAAACCTTACCAGTTTAATGGGTGTGTGGAAACCTTCAACTGTGTCTCCAGCTGTGCCCTTCACTGTTTACACTCAGGGGAGCAGATTCACCCCTACAGTAAGTGTGGAAATCCCTTCATTAACATCACAGGTCTTCTTAACCACCGGAGGCTTCCCAGAGGAAAGAAGTACAGTAAACCTGATGAGTGTCGTAAGGAAGTTAGTAAGGGCTCACTTCTGCAAAGTCGCATGAATGACCACACTATAGAGAAGCCACACAAATGTGAGGAATGTGGGAAACATTTCAGGCATAAAACAACGCTCAGCGTTCATTGCCGGAGCCACACAGGAGCAAAACCTTATGCTTGTGAGGAATGTGGGCAGAATTTTGTTTCTCTTTTGCGTTTTCAAGAACACCAGAAAATCCACACTGGTGATAGACGATTCGAATGTGATACACGTGGTAAGAACTTTTGTCATAAAGGAGAGCTTAATACTCACTGCAAAGTCCACGTGAGAGCGAAACCTTATAAATGTGAGGAATGTGGGAAGGGCTTCAGTCACAGAGCAGATCTTCAGATTCACTACAGAATCCACATGGTCGACAATCCAAATAACTGTGGGAAAAGTTTCGAGTTCCCTGCCCTTCTGCCCCATCAGAGAGTGCACAGTGGGAAAAAGCCATTCCAATGTGAAGAGTGTGTGAAGTCCTTCAGCAGCAGATCAAAACTTCAGATTCATTGTCGAATCCACACAGGAGAGAAATCTTATAATTGTGAGGCGTGTGGAAAGGGCTTCAGGCAGGCTGCACACCTCATGACTCATCAGAAAGTCCACAGTGGAGAAAAACCGTTCGTTTGTGAAGAGTGTGGGAAGTACTTCCGTAGTAGACCCATTCTTCAAGTTCATTATAGAATCCACACTGGAGAGAAGCCCTATAAATGTGAGGGTTGTGGGAGGGGCTTCAGGCAGGCCTCACACCTTTTGTCCCATGAGAGAGTTCATAGTGGAGAAAAGCCTTTCAAATGTGAAGAGTGTGGGAAGTTCTTCAGCAGCAGATCAAATCTTCAAACTCACCATAGGATCCACACAGGAGAGAAACCCTATAACTGTGAGGAGTGTGGGAAGGGCTTCAGGGTTGCGTCACAACTTTCCACCCATCACAGAGTCCACAGTGGAGAAAAGCCATTCAAGTGTGAAGTGTGCGGGAAATATTTTAGAACTAGAGGATATCTTCAGATGCACTGCAGAGTCCACACGGGAGAGAAACCTTACAGTTGTGAGGAGTGTGGGAAAGGCTTCAGGCAGGCTGCTCATCTTTTGACCCATCAGAGAGTTCACAGTGGAGAAAAGCCCTTTAAATGCAAAGAGTGCGGGAAGAGTTTCTGTCAGATTTCACACCTTCAAGCCCATCAGAGAGTCCATAATGAAGAAAAGCCGTTTAAGTGTGAACAGTGTGGAAAGGGCTTCAAGTGGAGTTTGAATCTTGACATGCATCAGAGGGTCCACACAGGAGAGAAACCATATAAGTGTGGGAAGTGTGGGAAGTACTTCAGTTATGCCTCAAGTCTTCAACATCATGAGCGAATTCATACAGGAGAGAAACCATACAGATGTGACGTGTGCGGTAAAGTCTTCACTCGACCTTCACAACTATATTCTCACCGGCGAGTTCACATTGGAAAGAAACGTTAGTGGTGTGAGATTGAGTTTAAGCACTTAAATTGGAGATCAAATGTGATAAATGACATAAGTCATGCTGGTAGTGAATTCTCTGGAAATGATAATATTGCTAAGGACTCAGAGAATCGTCACGGGAAACAATTCTACAAAGTGAAAAAAATATTTTTTTTAAAGTGAAGAATTTTATAACAAGTGCAACCTTAAGGATCCCTGGTTGTGCTGTGGGCTAAGCATTGACTGCTACCCACAAAGTTGGTCACTCAATTCCACCAACTGCTCACTGGGAGAAAGATGCTGTCTGCTCCCATGTACCGTCTTGGAAATTCTACTTAAGTTCTGTATGAGTCATCATCCACTCAATGGCGTTGGGTTAGATTTATGTGCCACCTAGGTTGATGAAATTATCGGAGCTCAGAAAACATTGGAGTAATAGTCTGCTGTTCAGCCAAACTCCTATCAGGGAACCCTTATAAGTGGTGCAGCAAGGGCTTCAGTTAGCACTTTGGGATTTATTGGATATTATTCAAGACCTAAGCCTTGGGAAGAATAAGAGCTAGCTCTTGCCTTTAACAGAAGCATAATGATGGGAATACCAAAAGTATTATGCACTAGAACGTAAACTCCATGAGGTAGGAACTGTGCTGTAGAATCTTTGTCGGTTTTTTTCAATGTTCTCGTCTTAAATAGGGACGATGTATAATAACTAAATATTTTTATCCAGAATGCCAATAAAAATTAATATTCAGAGAAACAAATTAAATGTAGTTCCTCATTACTGTAATCTGTAGGATTAATAGGTTAGTATGGTATTGCAAAGGAGGCCTGCCTGCATATCTCAAGCATTCACTGAAAGAGAGGCTGGAGGTTCAAGTCTATCATTGACCTCATGGGAGAAAAGCCCTGGCAGTCTGCTTCCTTAAAGAGCACAACTTAAGAAAACCCTAGGGAGCAGTTAGGTATGAACTGGAATTGATTGAATGGCACACAAAAAGAACAGCTTACTTTAATTGACTCTGGTTCTCAAGATGAATCTTATTACTCGGGGCTTTGGATATTACTTAGTCCATAGTAGCAGTATAAATAGAACTATATTTTGTGCTTCCTGTGGCAATGCAGACTGACAGCTGTTAAGCTTGCAACAGGTCACAGCATATTCAACAACTGAATGAGGGCTTGTCCATACACTTTGAAGGTGTCAGAAGTGGTAACGCATAAAGATGGGTGTTCTTGGGCCTCCTATTCTAATTTAGGAGGAGGCAAAATCATTAGCCCCACACTGATTCATGTGATGTGGATGCCAGGCATACCTCCACATTCTTTTTACCAATCTTGACACCAGCCATTGAGATTTAAAAGGAAAACAAAAAATGACTCATCAGATCAATGACGTTGCTGAGCTTGTTTGGAGAATAACTAGTGGGTATATGCATATTGAGGTCAGCAATACTGAGGAAGAACCCGGGAGACTATAGCATGGCCGTGGTGGGCCCTTGGGGTAGGAGCAGTAAGGACAAACAAGTTTGAATGTTGTTTGATGCTATTTTAAGTGTATCTGGTTAAAGGACTTTTGCTGGCTTGTTGCCTAGGGCTGTCCTTTGAGAAATAACACGTGGCTGTTTTTTAAAGAGTAAAATTTTATTTTCTCACAGTTGAGGCAAAAGTTCAAAATTCAAGGTGTGGCTTAGGGGTTATCCTCGCTGATTGTTCAGTGGATTCTTTGCTGCATGTTTTCTCCTTATGTACATCTTTGTCGATCCTTTTCAGAACTCAGAACGAGTTCATTTAAGGACTTACCTATATACTCGAGTATAAGCCTACCTGAATATCTGCCGAGGCACCAAATTTTACCACAAAAACTGCATTAAAAGTGGGCTGAAAACCTCAGCTGATACACGAGTATATGCAGTACTCTATACCAGTATAAACCTTATATACAAACACTCATATTTAAAGGCATCATGAGCAGGATTCCGGTGAAGATCTGAGAGGACAGATTTCAGCAAAACACATCTAGGGTTTCTCATGACTGGTTTTCAGGATCATACTTAAGATTCTAGGTGCTTAATAAGGTCATTGCTGCCTCAGTATAAATGGTGTATCAGTGGCTGCTAAGCTCCCCCGGTGTGATTCACTGGAGTACTCAAAAGACTAAGTATGTACCGCTCAGGCCACCCAGGCTTTTCCTGTGCCGTGTGCATCTGCATAGACATTTTCAGTGCCTGTCTCTGGAGTTGAGATGGTCTCAGCTTCTCGGGATGCCCATCACCACTCACAGCAAAGAAAGATTAAAATCACTCCAAATTCTAAAAAAAGAAAAAAAAAGACTGTAGGTTTTTTTTTTCTGAGTGTGATTTATTACGTAGTGAAAGGGTACCAAGAAAAACAAAGGAAATAAGCAGATGGCATCCTCGTAGGGTGGGACCAAGCAGGTAGGCTGTATGGAACCCTCTCCTATGGATTGATTAGTTTGTCATTCCACTAGGCTTAAAATGATCGGTCCCAGAAGTAGAAAGGGGAAACTCACTACCATCAAGGAAGAAGAGTCAGAAGTGGAACATGTCCTTTAGGTTCGGGATCCCTTTCCTGAACCTTCTTGACCCAGGAGAAAGCTGTGACCCTGGAGACGGCGAGAGAGGACAGCAGAACTAACAGATCACATTATCAGTGGTGGGCTTCCTAGTCTACCGAGTGTGAAGGAGGCTTACTGTGAGAGTGTTGTGCCTCTAGGTATTTGTCAGGAACTAGGTTTGCAGACCCACAGAGCCAAATACCTTCTGGCGGGAAGTCTACTGGAGGAGTAGAGTGCCTCTGGTTATTTAATCCACTGCACTAAAAGAATTCTGTACCACTTAGCACTTACCAGGGCTAAGGCCAGACCAATGCTGGCCAGGGCCAGAGAGAGGGGTGGGCCTATTCAGGGCTGAGAAGAGGCTATCCTGATGAGAAAACTTTATCCTGCGTGGAACCTGAATTTTAACCAGTTACTTCCCTAACAAACCCCTTAATCACGAGTATCGATGTGAGTTCTGTGTGGCCATTGCTGTGGGAGGCACGGTCGGTGTCCAAATTGGTAAAAGAGTTTGGAGGGTGGAGTCATAGACGACCTTCAACTCAGAAGAATCAGCTTTGGGCTAATGCTGATGGTGATTTTTTGTCCTTCTCCTTAGGAAGTTACAAGAGGTCAGATGCTGCCCTTACACCATTTTTTTCCAGATAGTAACCTACATAGTGTCTTCCTCCTCGGCTCTGTTCCAAGGTAGAGTGTGAGACGCAGCCTCGTGAAATAATTCTATCTTTGCAAGTGTTTGGAGTCATATCTAAGAATCTAGTGCTAGAAACTAGATCACAAAGCATTATTGCGGTGGTTCTAGAATTTTGTGGCTAGTGTTTTATATCTAAGCCTATAACACCAAGCGTGACGTTTTCATAACATTTCATTAAAATGTATGTGTGTGTATATATATGTGTGTGTATATATATATATATATATATTGATAACTATGAAAGCAAAGAATAAAAACAAAAAAAATTCCTGAAATTAAAAATTCAGGCGTTATAGGGCTAATTTGCTGACGCATTGAGTTCATTTTCACATGTGTCGTGAGGTATAGATCTAGCTTCATTGTTCTTCCAAAAGTTAAGGAATGGCCGTATGACCCAGTAATTAGAATAGAAAACATGTACATGGAAATACACAGCAGCACTGTTAACAATAGATACATGGTACAAAAAGCCCAAATGCTCTATAATGGGTAACGGATAAGAGGGTATTGTGTGAGAGGATTTATGCCCAATATGATAAGGGTGCCAAGCCAACTTTGAAAATCAGAGATTTTTATATTATCTTCCTGCCCTATATGTTTAGTAGAACACTATGTACGCATTGACTGAAAGAAATTAAATTGGAAGAATATGGGGTGCCAGCCCTCACAACCAAATGGGTCCAAGGGGCGGTTGTGTAATGGAGGAGGGTAAAATTAAAGAGACGTCAGGCAAGACAAAGCCTGCAAGGGCTCACCTCCGTGCTCATGATTTCAGGATCTGGGTCCAAACAGAGAATATATTTCCAACAGAGGCATATATTCTCTAGGAGGTTGCAAGCCCCCCAATTACAGGTAACCACATACGTAACAAAGTGGGCTGTACCCTAACCCTAAAGCACCCCTGAATTCATTGGAGGAGTAATTTTTTTTCCAAGTTCCGATGATGTTCTTTATTTTTTTAATCATAAAAATCTCTGTTCCTACCAAATTCCTATTTACAATTCAGAGCTGTCAGATCTTTCTTTTTTTATATATCAATTTATTGGGGCTCATACAATTCATCACAATACATAGATCAATTGTGTAAAGCACATCTATACATTTGTTGCCCTCATTATTCCCAAAATTCGCTTTCCTCTTGGGTTCCCGGAATCAGCTCATTTTCCTTTTATCCCCTCCCCCTCCCTTCCTCCTCCCCTCTCCCCCATGCACCCTTGATAATTTATAAATTACTATTGTTATCATATTACAATGCCCGGTGTCTCCCTTCACCCACCCCTCTGTTGCCCGTCCCCCAGAGAGAAGGTTATATGTAGCTCCCTGTGATCAATTCCCCTTTTCTACACCCCCCCTTCCCTCCTGGTATCGCCACTGTCACCCCTGGTCCTGAGAGGTTCATCTGTCCTAGATTCCCTGCGTTTCCAATTCCCATCTGTCCCGCTGTGCATCATCTGGTCTAACCAGGTCTGCAAGGCAGAAATGGGGTCCTGGTAGTTGGGGTCCTGGTAGCGTTTAAGAACTAGAGGAAGGTTGTGGGTTTCATTGTTGCTATACTGTACCCTAAGTGACTCATTTCCCCACTACCTGGAGGAGTAATTTAACACCAGTGTGGGAGCAGGTAAGGGGAAGTGGCTGTCTTCAGAGCCTAGAGAGCAATAGCACCTGTCTGCTCCTATAGTTAAAGCTGGTGGACAGATAGCAATTAGCCTTGCGCTTGTTAGAGCACCTGTCTGCTCCTATAGTTAAAGCTGGTGGACAAGATAGCAATTAGCCTTGTGCTTGTTAGAGGTAACTTTAATGCAGCACTACTGTGGGAGGATATACTAGGGAAATTATTAATTATGAGAATGTGATTGGGACTTTCACCAACTCAAGGGTGAAGGCCTTCCTCCACCCCAGAAACCCAGCCTGCCAGGCTTCTTAATATATGAGCATAAAGGATTAATCAGAATATGCTATCTTTCTGTTCTCTTTCCCACAGAAGAAACTGGAAGAGTTTTAGTGATGGACATTTGAAGATATCTAGAGTTCATAACAACTAGTCACTCTGAAAGAGAAGGTGAGGCTATCTACTCCCATAAAGAGTTACAGTCTCAGAAACCCACAGGGGAAGTTCTACCTTGTCCTATAGGGTCATTATGAGTTGGAGCCAAATCGTTATCAGTGAGGGAAAAAAGATACTGAGTCTAGAAAAATAGACACAACATGAGGTTTTTTATATGACAATTTCTGGAAAAAAAAATGTAGATGGGAGATGAGAGTTTTGGAGGGGAAAATCTCTGCTTAAGTATGATTTTAGATGGATCCCCCTCCCCCGTATTTTACTTTATAGGGTTTTTCATTCCTTTCAATTCACACATAAGTTTTACAACCAAGAATCACAATACAGATATTCCACCCCCAAAAAATGAAGGTAAAAAATGTTAACATTAACAAATATCACCTCTTACCATTAGAATTCTCTTGCATGAAACCATAAGCTCTTGG